GTTCTTTCTCTTGAGTATCCGATCCCATAGCATATAAAAATATTTTGACGGTTGGGACAGTATCAGGCTGTTATTTAATGTTTAATTTCTGAAAATATTTACGGAAGGCCTCGCAGGTTCAAGAAACGGGGTGCAGGGGTGAGTCAGACGCAGTAACAGCCCCGGGAGCCAACGAGGAGGTGCTTCCTCCATGGTCTCTGATCACAATCATTTGATGAAACGAGAAAGTTCTTTGCCTTTTCTTCAAAGCGCCGACTTTATGTTAGCACAGGACATTCCCCCATGTTCTCTGTCACTTCTAAGGTGCAGAGTCAAACTGATTATCATCCATTCAGGCCTTTACCCCACGGTCCGTACCCAGGCCTCTCCCTCGGTGTAAAGGAGCCCACGGTGGCAGCCCTGCTCCCCCCACCCCTGACCCACTCCCCCAATCCCTGACACGCTCCCCCCAATTCCTGACCCGCTCCCCCACCCCGACCCACTCCCCCCAATCCCTGACCCGCTCCCCCCAATCCCTGACCCGCTCCCCCACCCCTGACCCGCTCCCCCCAATCCCTGACCCACTCACCCCAATCCCTGACCCGCTCCCCCAATCCCTGACCGGCTCCCCCACCCCTGACCCACTCCCCCCAATCCCTGACCCGCTCCCCCCAATCCCTGACCCGCTCCCCCCACCCCTGACCCGCTCCCCCCAATCCCTGACCCACTCACCCCAATCCCTGACCCGTTCCCCCAATCCCTGACTGGCTCCCCCACCCCTGACCAACACATGCTCTTTCCTGCCGACTTGGAACTTCTGTTGTTCACTCTGAGGCTTAGATTTCTTTTTCCTCTAGTGCGCGTTTTTAAGCCCCTCAGGCGATCATACTTCACTGTGCAAATATCTGATCCTTTCCCAACACAGAACCACTCTGACTTCTGTTCTAGATCCAGAGCAGCCCACGCCGGGGGTGGTTGACGGCATAGCGGGGGCCCCCAGCCCTCTCACCGAGTCCCTGTGGGGTCGCTGGCAGGGGCACGTGCTGTGCGGTCTTCGCGGAGCCTCAGGAGTCCACACGGGCCGCCGCCCGCACCGTTAGGACAGTGCCAGAAGCACGGATACAGAGATTAGCTAAATGCATCCTCTGCCCCCCAGGCAGGCGCGGAAAGTTCTCCGGGCCTCTGATCAGAGCGGAGTCAGAATAGGGCCGAGGTGCCGCGGGAACCCAGAGGCCGGTGGGCCGAGCCCCGCTCGGCTTCCCAGAGTAAGAGCTCGTGGTGCCCTCAGCACCTCATTTCATCCTGATCTTTTAAAAAGTGATGTCGTGGAAGGGTTGGGGGTTTGGAGAATACCCTGCATGCGGTAAAGCTCGTGAGTTAATGTCAAATCCTCCCGTGCTTCACCTGCCCTCCGTGACACAGAATGGTGATGGTCTCTCTCCCTCCCTCCCTCCCTCCCTCCCTCCCTCCCTCCCTCCCTCCCTCCCTCCCTCCCTCCCTCCTTCCTTCCCTTCCTTCCTTCCTTCCTTCCTTCCTTCCCTCCCTCCCTCCCTCCCTCCCTCCTTCCTTCTTTTATGTCCTATAGTTTTTGCACACTCTGCTCACAGGAATATTGTGACTGGTAAATGAATTTCATCAGCTTACACTCGAGTTTCTGAAATAACAAGTTGCAGCTCCAGCAGTGACATTGGACGGGAAAGCAAAGATGTGTTTAGGGCCCCCGCAGGCCCCGGGTTTGAGAAGGATTACACGGCACATGCACCTCGCTGGGAGCTGGCTCTCGGCCTCCGTCGGAGCCTCTCTGATCTAGGGAACGGGAGGCCCTCTGGAGTCCTGCTGCCGTTCTCTGCTTTTCCTGTGGCCGTTTCATCTCGCCTCCCCAGCCAGACTGGGAGCTGCTGAGGAACGAGGTCATTTGTTGTGCCCGTCTGTCCCTCCAGAGCACCTGGGGCGGAGGACACAGCCCCTGGCGCCTGGTTTGCTCTCCTCGAGGAACTGGGCAGTGGCCGTGCTATGTGGACTTTAGAGCCAGACTTGCTGTGTTATTTCTGCTGCTTGAGCAGAAGCCACGGCCGCGGGAAGGGGAGGCCGGGAGCCAGAGCACGCCCAGAGCCACAGGGCAGGTGTGCCCGGGCAGCCCCAGCTGCCTACCTGGGGACGCCTTCAAAGGGAGCCGGGCCTTATCTGCCCTGGCCGGAAGCGAGACAGGGCCAGTGTGTTCAGCGATCTGTGCAAGCACCAGTCCTCTGGCCAGAGTTCAGGACAGTGTTGCCTCACTCTGCAGAGGGATTTTATCTTGTTAGCTCTCCATAGACAGTAAGACCAACATTTCCCTAAATAAATCTCAGCTATGCTTTAAAAGCAACTGAAAAGTAAAATGATAAGAGCATTTGAGCTCCCTGAATGTAATGACAAGGAACTTGACATCTTTTTATAGTCGATGATCAATTCTTCCGGCTTTGAAGCTCCTGTTTGGAAGATAGAATATTTGCAGAAAAGGGACGGCTGGGTGGCTCAGCGGTTGAAGACTCATTATGTATTTTAGAGCGAGCACAAGAGGGAGGGGCCAAGAGAGGATCTGAAGCAGACTCCTCGCTGAGCGCAGAGCCCGACTCGGGGCTCAATCTCAGGACCCTGAGATCATGATCTGAGCTGAGACCAAGAGTCAAACACTCAACCAACTGAGCCGCCCAGGCGCCCCCTCTTCTTGCACCTTTAAAGATAAAGGTGTTTGGACGCCTGGGTGGCTCAGTGGTTGAGCGTCTGTCTTCAGCTCAGGGTGTGATCCCGGGGTCCTGGGATCAAGTCCCACATCAGGCTCCCCCCTCTGCCTGTGTCTCTGGCTCTCTCTCTGTATTTCTCATGAATTAAAAAGAAAAAATACATATTTGCAGAAAAGAAAAAAAAAGGCAGCTGTCCACATGCATTTTCCCATGTAGCGCTGGGAATCTGATGAGGGGCTGGTCCCAGCCCCACTGACAGCACAGTCTCTGTCCAGCTATCTGATACTTACTAGGCTGAACTTTATGGTTACTATTTTACGTTAGTGACTGCAGTTTTTAACCTTTTGTTCATGGTGAAAAAATATTTTAAGTAATATTTACCCCACTGTCTTGCTTGCCATTTGAAGAAATCTTCCTTCCGATATAATGCAGAATGAGGAGATGACCACTGGCTGTTATACTATATGTTGGCAAATTGAATTTAAATAAAATCTAAAAAATAAAAATAATTTTGAAAGATATAATGCAGAATAGAAAAAACACACAGATTCACAGCCTGATTATATATAGATTAGATAGAAAGCCTTTTAAATCTTATGAAAGGCTAATGATTCACTTTTATTTCTCCTGTGTGTTACTGTCAAGCATAACTTATTGTCTGAATTCTAAGCATGGGATGGGACTTTCACAAAAATGTGTGAATTGTCCCCATTTTTCATTTCTAAAGGAAGTCAAAACATCCCTTCATCTTTGCACTTAAAGATGTTTACTGTAAGTAGGGCCGAAATGTGAAAATGTTTTATAAGAGCATGTTCCGGGGATTTGCTTTGGAATAGTTTTCTCACTCGGCTGGGAGAGCCTGGCATCTGGTGGTCACGATGTGGTGGTAGCACCTTCGTGATCCCTGGCTGTTGGCAGCAATACACCTCCCTGGGTCCTCTGGGTGCCGGGGGCCGTGGACTTCACTGTGGCCATTCATATGGAAAAGCAGCTCTAGAAACTAAATGTCACTGAATGATGCATCGCTGCCGGGCCCAGGGGTGGGCACAGGGCTGGGCCCAGGGCAAGAGCCCAGGAGGACAGAGATGGGAGGGCAGTTCAGGCAGGTGGACCTGGCATGTACCTATCCACCTGCACACACACACACACACACACACACACACACACACACACACATCTGGTGTCTCTTTTTGTGTGTCCCAATTTCCTCCTTCTATAAGGGCACCCATCAGATGGATCAGGGCCTGCTCTAAAGGCCTCATTTTAACATAAGTGCCTCTTCAAGACCCTCTCTCCAAATATCGCCACATTCTGAGGTCCTGGGGTTGGGATTCCAATTCCAATACGAATTCTGGAGAGATACAGTTCAGCTCCTAACAGTACCCACCCGGAGAGTACTGTTTGTTTGCCGCTTAGTCTGACCTACACGAGTTACCCCATGGGTACAAGGAAAACATGATACTATACCAGGGTGTGTGCTGACAGCTTGTCCCTCCTGCTCTCCCCATGCCCCTCAATTGAGCCACCCTGGCCTGCTTGTTCCTAGAAGGCTTCCATCATGGGGCTTCTGTGCTTGCTTTTGTTGGCTGGAACATTCTCCCCTGAGACCTCAGCGCAGCTCACCCTCTCAGGTTCTGCTGTCCCCAAATGGGCAAGGCAGTGTCCCTCACTAAGTCTGTGTCCGTTCTACATCCACTTTTACTGTGCTGTTGGATTGCCACCGGACACTCATTCCACACGTGCATTTGTTTATTTGCTAATTGTGGCCCCGCCAAAACAGATGTCCTAGGAAGGCGAGGACTCTGTGTCCACTGCCGTTTCTGTCCAGCTCAGATACAGTGGGCTGGGCTGAGCGTGCAGTGTGCACTCGTGAGCAGGTAAATGATTCTAGCAAGATCGGCTTTGCCTCCTTAAGCATTTTGTGTTTAAAGATTTTCATTTTCTTGGGTTTTTTTTTAAGATTTTATTTATTTATTCATGAGAGACACAGAGAGAGAGGCAGAGACACAGGCAGAAGGAGAAGCAGGCTCCTTGCAGGGAGCCCGATGTGGGCCTTGATCCAGGGACACCGGGATCACGCCCTGGGCCAAAGGCAGACGCTCAACCACTGAGCCACCGAGGCGTCCCCAGATTTTCATGTTCTGAGTGCTCTTATCGAGAGGCACACTGAGATAAGGTGGTCAACCGTGTTCCTTCTTAGATTATGAACTCGGCATATCGTCGTCAGTAAGTGATGTCCTCACTGAAGGAAAACCAGTGTTCTTCTATGTCTTACTGGTCACTTCTCTCTCCTCCCAGGTTGGGGCTCAGCTACATTTCCAGAACCATCCGGTCAAGATGGTAGACACAGAAAGCCCGATTTGCCCCCTCTCCCCCCTTGAGGCTGATGACCTGGAAAGCCCGTTATCTGAAGAATTTCTACAAGAAATGGGAAACATCCAAGAGATTTCTCAGTCCATTGGTGAGGATAGTTCTGGAAGTTTTAGTTTTACAGAATACCAGTATTTAGGAAGTGGCCCGGGATCAGATGGATCTGTTATCACAGGTGAGTGTGCTGGATCCTAAAAAACCTTATTTAGAAATGTTTTTGTTGTTGTTGTTGTTTTTCCTGCAGAGAAAATTGTTCTCTTTAGCTGGCAAAGAAGCCACATCTTTGTGCAGTGAACTCTTTAGACATGATAAAGCACAACATCCAGTCCACTGGGCCTGGAGGCGTCTCCAGAAACATTGTGTCTCACAGTATGCCCACTTTTATTTTGTTATTTTTTAAACTTTTTGTTTTTTAAGATTTTATTTTATTTATTCATGAGAGGCACAGAGAGAGAGAGAGAGAAGGAGAGAGGCAGAGACACAGGCAGAGGGAGAAGCAGGCTCCCTGCAGGGAGCCCGACGTGGGACTCGATCCCAGGTCTCCAGGATCCCGCCCTGGGCCAAAGGTGGTGCTAAACCACTGAGCCACCCTGGCTGCCCTATGTATGCCCACTTTTAAAAACTATACATGAAATGACGCTTGAAATTTAGTTAAGGTAGTCAGCTCCATTTCTAAAAATTCTGAGTTTCTATCTCTTTAAAGCAGAGACTTCTGTTATAATAAAAAGGATGATTTTTTATTTTTTATCTGGAAGTATATATGAATTATCTCCCTATTTTCTACACTGCATCAAGAATTGCAATGAAGGGGCTCCAGGGTGGCTCAGCCGGTTGAGCATCCAGCTCTTGGTTTCGGCTCAGGTCATGATCTCAGGGTCCTGGGATCGAGCCCCATGCTGAGCTCTGCATTCACCAGAGAGTCTGCTTGAGTTTCTCTCCCTCTCCCTCTTCTCCTTCCCCGTGCTCACTCACTCTCTCTCTAAAATAAATAAGTAAAATCTTAAAAAAAAAAAAAAAAAAAAAAGAGAGAACTGCAGCAAGCATCACCAGGGCAAATACAAAGAAATAAAACATGGGGTCCACTCAGGTAGCCTCACCATCTCTGAGAACAAATCATGGAACACTTCATTCCAGGCAACGTTGAAGCCAGCCCGGGAGAATGTGGTGTGAACTGTGCCCTCGATTACCCATCTGGGGTGGGCCTGACTCACAGGCTTTGTGGTGGGAGTGGGTCTTGGGTCGGGACTGAAGGTGCTGGGTCTGGGTTGGCAGCTTGTGCTTGGTAGTGAAGAGGTCGTATGGTTTTCAACTCCGAGCACGGAATATCAGGACTCTCTGGGGACCCCAGGGAGGGTGTTCTCCCCGTCAGTGAAAGGCCTCTGCGTTCTTTGCCCTCCGTGGCTCTCCCGTGTGTCAGGTCCTTCACCTGGAGCCCATTTCCACCAACCATCTTCTCACTTTTTCCTGCTCCAGGAAGACGATTTTCAGGACCGGGCACTTACGTTAGTGACAGTGGGCAGGGAAGGTTCATGCTCTGCTGGAAGCGGTGTACACTGATAAAACCTCTATAGAGAGAGGAGTGCAAGGTGCACCCACCCAAACCCAGCAGGGCCACTGGGGACCGACATCGCTTAAAAGGAGATGCATGCATGGCAGCCGTATTTGGGGTAGTGGATGCAGGGCAGCGATGTGTGTGGCGCCATGCGCATCGCAGTAACACGCGTGGTGGGGATGGTTAGGACACAAGGGGAGCAGATAAATCGTGAAAGCTTCCTGCAGCAGAATGCTTTAGAGTAACTTAAAAGAGTGAATCAGCTCCACCTGTAACAACATGAATCTGCAAAAACAACACTGAATGAAAATAAACAAGCTTAAGGATGTATTCAATATAATTCCATTCATGTAACGTCTCCAACACCCAACAGCACCCTATGTGGTCGGTGGATGTGGACACGCACACCTGGCAAAGCTCATGCCAGCTTTACGATGCCGGTCACCTGGTGGCACCGGGGAAAGAGTCCCGCAGAGATGTTCGCTCCCGTGGGTTGCGCTTTAGACAAAAGGCAGGAAACAGTGTGACAAAACATTACAATTTGCAAACCTGGGCGTGGGTGTTATACTGCATATTTTCCCTGTATGTTTGAAACACTTCAAAGAAAACTACAAGCAGCAGGAAGGAGCGTTCCTGGCAGAAGGAAAAAGCATCTTGTGCAAAGCCTCACCTAATCCTCGTAAAAACTCAGTGAGAAGACTGTTGTCGTTTTACAAGTGGAAATAAACTCACAGGTATTAGGTAACATGGCCCGGTCACACAGCTAGAAAGAGACCGTCCCAAGACTTGACCCCATGCCCCCCAGCGGGCTCTAAAGCCATGTTCTCCGTACGAACATCCTTTTTGGCAGCAGTGTCCTCAACCTAGTAAATCAAGGATTGCACGATCCATGTGAGACCCAGAGGAGGTGACACGTTAATGGACTCTGTGGCCTACCTGACCAAGCAGCCTTTGTAGTGACCCCAACAGACCTTCATAAATGGTTCAAGTCTTGACTGTCTTTCTCATACCATGTTAGGGAGGGAAGGAGCTTCGAGGGAAAGAAGCCAGCATCCAGGGTGATAGGAGCTTCCAGAAACAATGAGGTGTGCTGTGGTGTGGGACCACCTTGCAGAGCATCTGGAGGTCACCCTGAGGCCCACCTGTGCTGGTGTCGGGGCAGCGACAGCCCAGGTTGCCAGGCACCGTGTTAGTCACCGCGTGCACCTCCTCTCCCTGAGTCCCAAGAGCAATGTTTGAGTTCATCGTTCTGTTTATTTGAGGAAAGAGTAGGGAAGACAGACCTCAGGACATGGGGACATGCTGGAGAGGATAAGCCCAGAGTAGGAGAAAACCCAGAATCAAAACCCAGCTCTCATCTCCTTCCAATGGGTCTTTTATTCCCGACGTTACAGACACATGGCATGCTGGTTAGTTGTTTTGGGATACTATTTGTGTTTATATTGACTCTCAGAAATGTTATTTCTTCTGGATTTGAGAATAATTATCTGTGTCTATTTGTTTCTCTCTTTTTTTTGTATATTTTTTTATTGGAGTTCGATTTGCCCACATATGGTATAACACCCAGTGCTCATCCTGTCATTTGTTTCTTTTTCTTTTCTTTTTTTTTTTTTTTTTTGTTTTTTTTTTTTTTTGTTTCTTTTTCTAAAGAAAGCAGTTTTCCCCCTTCTTTGGAAATCATAAAGTCCATTTTATTTTATTTTTTTAAAGATTTTCTTTATTCACGAGAGGAAAGGCAGAGACACAGGCAGAGGGAGAAGCAGGCTCCCTGCGGGGAGCCTGATGCAGGACTCGATCCCAGGACTCCGGGATCATGCACTGAGCCCAAGGCAGACGCTCAACCACTGAGCCACCCAGGCGTCCCGTATAGTCCATTTTATAATGAAAGAATTCAAAGATACACTTTCCTCCAGGTCACACACACTCTCAGGGTCCTTCTCAAACAAAGAACTTGCATGAGCAGGGTGGGTGCAGTGGTAAAGCCTCTGGAAAGTTCTCGCCATGGACAGGAAGTGTTCAGACGCCCTCCCACCTTCTCTGGAAGGCAGAGTCCACAGCCTGGACTTCCTCTCTCCCAAATCCTCACCTTCAAACAGGGGGGGTCTGAAATTACCTTCCCCCAATTTGTTTTAAGGTCGCCGTTCTAGAACTAGTGTCTTTTCGGTCATTGCCAAGAACTATAACCCAACATGTATTCCCAAGCCATCTGAAAGCTCTGACACAGCTGAGACTTGGAAGGGGCATGTCAACTAGCCCCGAGGTCCATAGGCTTCATCAAAACCTACACTGGACCCGAGTTCAGGGCCTGATACGCACTTCGCATCTAAATAAAGAGAGGGCAAGGGTTTGTGGGGAGAGGGTTCCACACTGGTCTTCAGGGAATTCCAGGGAACTTTGTGGTAAAAACCAAAGCGGGGGAACTTACCAGAAGGGCTCACAGCGAAACGCACTAGGGGTACCCCCCAAACTCTGGGCCCTGGCCTTCGGGGCCCAGGTGTGTGCTCAGCATTTGCAGTCCTTCTAACTTCTTACCGTTGTTGCTGGTCCTTTTGGTCATTTGGAATCATCTCTTGCTTCTTAAAACCTTGCTTCGTTTCCCTTCCAGATTCTCCAGGGCTGGTGTCACTAGCTAATTTGAGAGCGAAGATTACCGCTTATTTGTAAATGAGATTTTCCAACCCTCGGGGGATATTTCTGCATTATGTAAATCGCTTCCGTGGAAGGGCCGTCAATGAAATGTGTTCACTTTATTTTATTATTTTTTTGAAATGTGTTCACTTAAACTTGACACCCAGGGGAACAGATGGGTGAGGCTGCTGGCGCGGCTGATCCACCCCCACCCCCCATTCTTCCAAGCGACTTGACTGGCGCACAAAAACCCGCTCGTAGTTCAAGTGTACAACTTGATGCGTACACACAAACACACACACACACATTTTGAGTGTGAAGCCATCACCACAATGAAAATAGTGACAAAACCCATCACCTCCAGGGACACCTGGGTGGCTCAGTCGGTGAAATGTCTGCCTTCAGCTCAGGTCATGCTCTCTGGTCCTGGGACCAAGTCCAGCGCCAAGTTCCCTGCTCAGCAGGGAGCCTGCTTCCCCCCTCCCTCTGCCTGCCGCTCCCCCTGCTTATTCTCTCTTTCCCTTTCCAATAAATAAATAGAATCTTTTTTTAAAGATTCTATGTATTTATTCATGAGAGACACAGAGAGAGAGAAGCAGAGACATAGAGGGAGAAGCAGGCTCCACGCAGGAAGCCCGACATGGGACTCGATCCTGAGACTCTGGGATCATGCCCTGAGCCGAAGGCAGACGCCTGAGTCACCCAGGCATCCCAATAGAATCTTTTTAAAAAATAACCCATCACCTCCAAATTTACATATACCTTTTTATAAACCCTCTTCCCCACCCCTGGGTCTCCCTCCCTCCCCTGAGCAACACCAATCTTTCTATTATTATGGATCTGTTTGTATCTCCCAGAATTTAAAAAAAAATTAAGATTTTATTAGTTTATTAAGATTTTATTTATTTATTCATGAGAGACACAGAGAGAGAGGCAGAGACACAGGCAGAGGGAGAAGCAGGCTTCCTCTGGGGAGCCTGATGTGGGACTCGATCCCAAGACCCCGGAATCACGACTTGAGCCAAAGGCAGATGCTCAACCACTGAACCACCCAGGTGCCTTTTTCCTAGAATTTTATATAAAAAGAATAATGCAGTAGGTATTCTTTTCAGTCTGGTTTCTTTCACTCTCGCAAAATTATATTGAGATTTCATCTGCATCGAAGCGCATATCGGTCGTTTAGGTTTTTTATCCGTTGTATCCGTGGCTCCACCACGGTTTATTTATTCATGCACCTGTTGATGAACATTTGAATTGCTTCCAGGTATTGAGTGTCAGAAATAATGCTGCTGGGAACATTCGCATACAAGTCTCTGTGTGACCATGTGTTTTCACTTCTCTCTGGTAAATGCCCAGGACTGAATGGCTGGGACACAAGGTAGATTATGTTCCCACCAGCGTGCGTGGGAGTTCCAACTCATGCACACCCTCTATCAACATTAGATATGGTCAGTCTTCTGGGTTTTAGCCGTCCTAATAGGTATGTAATGGCCTGTCACGGTGGTGGCTTTCGTTGGCATGTACCTGAGGCCTAATGATGCTGAGGCTCTTTTGCCAGGTATCTTCTTTTTAATTTTTTAAAAATTTATTTAAAGATTTTATTTATTTATTTGAGAGAGAGCATGAGCAGGGGAAGAGACAGAAGGAGAAGCAGACCTCCTCCACCCTGAGCAGGAAGCCCAACACGGGACTCTAGCCCATGACCCCAAGATCATGACCTGAGCTGAAGACAGATGCTTAACTGCCTGGCCACCCAGATGCCCCCACCAAATATCTTCTTTTTTTAAAAATGTTTTTATTGAGGTATGATTGACACATAGTGTATTAGTTTCAGATATACAACACAGCGAGTTTACAATCCTGTGCATTACACAGCGCTCACCACAATATGCAGTCACCATCTGTCACCATACAACATTATTATGATATTATGATATGATATTATTATGCAGACTGTTTCCAATGTCAAAAAAAAAGAATTGCATCTGTGTTCATGACGGATATTGGTTCTAGTTTTCTTGTAAAATCTTTATCTGGTTTCGGTATCATTAAATGCTGGCCTTGTGGAATGAGTTAGGAAGTACCCCCTCCTCTTCAGTTTTCTGTAAGTATTTCTGTGGAGCTGATACTCTCTCTTCCTTAAATAGTTCATAGATTTCATGCATGAAGTCTTTTTTTTTTCTAAATCTTATTTTTCTCAGTGTTTCATTTTGGATATTTTATTTTTTGCTATGTCGTCAGGTTTACTAACTCCTTCTTCTGCAGTGTCTCAGCTGGCCCTGACCCCATCCAGGGTATTTCTCACACCATTTAGTATAGTCTTACTCACTAGAAGTATGATGTGGTTCTTTCCTACCTGGTCTCTACCTACCACATCCTGCCTTTCATCCAGCTCCTTGAACACCTAGGATACAGTCATAACTGTCTATCATCTGTGTTAGTTCTTTTTTTTTAATTTTTATTTATTTATGATAGTCCCACAGAGAGAGAGAGAGAGAGGCAGAGATATAGGCAGAGGGAGAAGCAGGCTCCACGCACCGGGAGCCCGACGTGGGATTCGATCCCGGGTCTCCAGGATCGCGCCCTGGGCCAAAGGCAGGCGCCAAACCACTGCGCCACCCAGGGATCCCCATCTGTGTTAGTTCTCTCTTTTTTTTTTCATCTGTGTTAGTTCTGAGTCAGTTTTGCACTGATTTTTCTCCTCATCATGAGTCATGTTTTTCTGCTTTTTGCATATTTCATATATATATATATATATATATATATATATATATTTTAGAGAGAGCGAGCATGCACACATGAGCAGGGGTAGGGAGGGAGGGACAGAGAGGGAGAAGGGGAGAGAGAATCTCAAGCAGACTCCTCACCCAGGGTAGAACCTGTCCTTGAAATTGTGACCTGAGCCAAAATCAATCGTCAGACACATAACCGACTGAGCCACCCAGGTGCCCTGTACATTTTTTTATTGAATGCCATAGGTTGTGCACTTTGTTCCTGATGGCTATTTTTGTATTCCCGTAAATGCTTCTGAGTTTTGTTCTGGAATGCAGTTAAGTTACTTGGGAAACGGTTGACCTTTCAGGTCTTACCTTAGATGGAACTGTAACAGTGTTGATTCTACAGGTACATTTGCTCCAATGCTGGGGCAAGACACTTTTGAGTACTTTGCCTGGTGGCCTATAAATTCTGAGGCTTTCACTGGGAGCGGTGCTCATAGAACTATATCCAGCCTTATCAGAGTTCTGGCTGCTTGTTCCCTTGTCATTTCAGGTTGCTGCTGGAGTATCTTTTCTTTTAGGCTTTCCTAGCTGATGCAACAAAGAGATACGTGTGTGTGCTGACCCTTGTATACACACAGGTCTATAAATATTTCTGTACATAGTGATTTGTATCTCTGTTTACTGGGCTGATGCCTGCAGCTCTAACCCACCACCACGTGGGTCATCCTCGCCTCTCCTAGCGGATCTGCAGGCTCACACTCCAGCAGTGAGAGGCCTGGCTCCCATGCCACTTTTCCTTCAGTTCATTGTCTCCAGTCTACATTTGGTGGCATCAGGGTGGATAACCTGTGCCCCTGTCAGGGCCACTTCGACAGCTGACACCCCGTGCTTACATGCAGCTCCTTTGCCTTTGGTCCCATAGATGCCAGCCACTCGTTTCCAAGTTTCCTTAGATCAGGTCTTCTCCACACCTCCCAAATGATTTTTGTGTATTTGCGCACGTTAAGGCTCGCTCTGGGCTGTAAAGCTCTGTGGGTTTTGACAAATGCATAGTGTTGTCTTCACTGTGATGTTTCATATGTATTGTTTCATCTCCAAAAACCTCTGTTGCACCTGCTCAGCCTGCCTCCCAGGCTCCTGCAGCAACTTACCTTTGTACCAAACCTATAATTCAGCTTTCCCAAAACGCCAGATATTTAGATCATATAGTTTATAACCTTCTCAGACTGACTTTTTGATTTTTTTATCCTTTCACCTATCAAAAGGTATCTTGGTTGCTTCTGATTTGGGGAGATTAGCACTAAAGCTGATATAGACATTCATGTGTAGGTTTTTGTGTGAACTTAGTTTTCAGATCCCTTGGGTACATACTTAGGGCTATAATTCCTTGAAGACTGTTTTGCCACACTGTCTTCTAACGTGGCTGCATCATTCTGCATTCCCACCAGCCACCTGTTACTGCTTATCCTTGCCAGCATGGGGTATTGTTAGTTGGTTGGTTGGTTGTTTAATTTAGTTTAATTAAATTAATTTAATTTAATTTTTTAAAGATTTATTTATTTACTTGAGTGAGCAAGAGAGAGTGCACAAGCAGGAGGAGTGGCAGAGGGAGAGGGAGAAGCAGGCTATCCGCTGAGCAGGGAGCCTGACACGGGACTCAGTCCCTGGACCCCAGGATCATGACCTGGGCCGAAGGCAGACCCTTAACTGCCTGAGCCCCCCAGGCACATTGTTTTTTTTTTAGCCAGTCTCACAGCTGCATGATGATGCCTCATTTTAATTTACAATTTCCTGGCCACCAGTGATGGGAGCATCTTCTCACATGCTAATTTTTTACCATTCTTCAGTGAAGTGTCTGTTCGAATCCTCTGCCCACTTTTTAATTGAGTTGTTTGTTTTATTGTTGAGTTTTAAGACTTCTCTGGGTATTTTTTTAAATTTTTTATTTATTTATGATAGTCACACACAGAGAGAGAGAGAGAGAGAGAGAGAGAGAGGCAGAGACATAGGCAGAGGGAGAAGCAGGCTCCATGGCTCCATGCACCGGGAGCCCGACGTGGGATTTGATCCCGGGTCTCCAGGATCATGCCCTGGGCCAAAGGCAGGCGCCAAACCACTGTGCCACCCAGGGATCCCTCTCTGGGTATTTTGGATACAAATCTTCTATTAGCTGTGTGCTTTGCGAATATTTTCTCCCTGTCTGTGGCTTGTCTTTGTTTTTCATCCTCTTGCCAGTGTCCTTTGCAGAGCACAAAGGAGTTTTTAATTTTAAGAAAGTCCAATTTTTTTTTTTAATCTTTCACGGATTTTTGCTTTCGGTGTCACCCACATGGATTCTTTAATCCCGTGTTCTGGTGTCATCTGCCAAGTTGACAATTGAAAAAGAGCTGGAGGGAAGCAAAGTAACAAACTGCGTGTAGGCCACACCCAGTGGGGAGTGGGGAGACCGATGGGGTGCGGGTCCAGAACCTGGGGGCGGGGGGCAGCCCAGGCCCGGATGGAAGCTCTGCCCACTAGCAGGTGCCTCCTCACCGACTACCCCATGTGCAGTCGTGGCCTCGCAAACCCGGTGTGGACGTCCCTGACCACGCTTGCAGTGCTCATCGGTCTCTGTCCTCTGTCCTCAGACACGCTTTCACCAGCTCCCAGCCCCTCGTCGGTCACGCACCCAGCGGCTCCCGGTGGTGCCGAGGAACCTTCCAGCGTAGCCTTGAACATTGAATGCAGAATCTGCGGGGACAGAGCCTCGGGCTACCATTACGGAGTCCACGCGTGTGAAGGCTGCAAGGTATGCTGGCCGAGCGGCCGGGCCCTGCCCCACGGGCCACGCGTGCTTCCTTTCATGTCAAACACGGATTTTCCTCGTGACCCACGAGACCCGCCAGACATCCCGCCACATAAGAGACTGGCCTCAGTTGGGGGTTCATTTCTCCCTCCCGAGGGACCGTGGCAGATTGCCGGGCCTGCCCGCTAAATAACCCGAAGAAGTGCATTTTTAGGAACAGAGGCCCCAGGACAGAGAGACGAGCCCTTTATTTGAATCTGGGGTCTGGGAGCCCACTTCCTTTCATTCCTCTTGGGTGAGGTGGGCAGCAATTCTCGTGGCAGTCAGGGATATCAGGACCCCGCATCACGCTTCTAGAATTTTCTGTATGCTCAGCTTTAGTACTTCCTGTACTTGACATGTGGGGGATCTAGGACTCTCAGTGTTTGGTGAAAGTCAGGAATCTCCTTCCCGTGTGTGTGCTGAGACAGCTGATTGACTTCTGGAAGATGCCATGGCCTTTCCTGGTGCAGACACAACGTGCGTCCTGGACACGCTGATGCTGCACCTGAGCCCAGGCTGGTCCTGGAGGCCTGGACCGCGGGGGGAAGGGCCACGCTGGTGGGGCCGGCTCTGCCTGCTGACGTTAGAACCCTCTCTTCCGCCCCCTCATGACCCTGTGCCTTCTCTGGCCGTCCCACTTTACAGACCTGGACATCCAGCTTGGGAGGCTTCAATCTCCCCTCCTGTCCCCCGCCCCCCCAAGAAATTGCTGTCTCCCTCCTGCAGGCCTGCTGGACCTGTGCCACCCAAAATGTGCGGGAATGAGTGGGAAGCAAACGGGAAAAGGAACCAAAGCAAACGCAGGGGCCTTCACAAGCCTCTGACCACGAACCTGTAAAAAAAAAAAAAAAAAAAAAAAAAAAAAAGGCTACTTGCAAAGTGGCGTGTCCTAGCTGGCGGGCCCGAGTTCCTTTTGTTACGTTTTGGTGTTTACACAGACGAAACACCGAAGCTTCTTACTGGGAAGAGTTTAAGATGCTTTGGTAAAGTGAGAACATTATTTACAAATGGTTGGCCTCCTTTTAGTACAGTATATTATCATTTTTGCCTTTTTAGGGAGTTCATATTCTCTTATAAAAAATGCCTAGAAACCTGGACGTGCGTAGGAGGAGGAAGGTGACACTTATATGAGTCGGAACGGGACTTGGTGACTCTGGGAGACTTAATTGTGTCTTCCCAAGCCAGATGAGGACGCCTTGAAACTACTTCGAAATTTGCCTCATTCTGTTAGTTCTTCATTTTACATGTCATGAAATTTAAATTTTTTAGTTTGTCCTAATTAAGGCAGACCACTTAGAATGATTTTACTAATTTCGGGCCTCTTGCAAAGTACAATACGTGAGCGACAGGAAATGTGAGTAGAGCCACGACATTGACTCCCTGGCATCCGTGGCCCCCCCTCAATCGTGCATCCATCCCACAGGGTTTCTTCCGGCGAACCATCCGGCTGAAGCTGGCCTATGACAAATGTGACCGCAGCTGCAAAATTCAGAAAAAGAACCGGAATAAGTGCCAATATTGTCGTTTCCACAAGTGCCTTTCGGTCGGGATGTCCCATAATGGTAGGTAAGGTTGTCTAGCGTGTTCCCCAGCCCCATGCCTCAGCTTACCTCCCGTGTCTGGTCGCCGCCGACTGCATTCTGAGTGAATGCACGGCAACACCACTTAGGGCCCAGATCATTTTGCGACCAGAATAGCCTAAGAAGGGAAAAGTCACACAGCCGAGATGCAGCAGAGCTCCTGGAACTCCTCTGAGACCCTCCACACGGTAAGACTTCCATTGAAGGCTTTCGGACCCATTGCAAACCCCTGGGTGGCCAGATTGGTCACAGCATCTGCACGGAGCACACGTTTTGTAAACACCGTCCCCCATTGCGGATGTCATTATTCTGAACCTGTCCTGTCATTTTAGAACATGCCAATGGCGATGCAAAGGCAAGTCTAAAATGACTAGTTCCTAGCAGGTGCATGTCTATCATCTGGACAAAAAAGAAAGGTGTCACCTGAACTCGCCCTAGGGGTCACTCCCATCTCCCTGAACTAAGGGTCAGTTTTGGACATAATGACAGTAAATGACCTCCAGCCAATCCTGTTGCCCAAATGAGTGACGGTGTTGCCTTTCCTTTTGGCCTTTGGAAAAACCCCAGGATTGAAGGAGGGTTGGGTTTTCTTTTCCTCTCCCCAGAGCAGAACATTGGCTAGTCCTGAGGGGTGGCTTTTTGTCTGTGGTAGATTCCCGGGGCATGCACTCCACCGGGGCCCGTCACTGCCGCACGCCAGAGACCTCACCTCTGCTCCCGTTCTCTCCCGTGTCCCCAGCCATCCGCTTTGGAAGAATGCCACGATCAGAAAAAGCAAAACTGAAAGCGGAAATTCTCACCTGTGAACAGGACCCAGAAGACGCAGAGACAGCAGATCTCAAGTCCCTGGCCAAGAGAATTTACGAGGCCTACCTCAAGAACTTCAACATGAACAAAGTCAAAGCCCGGGTCATCCTCGCAGGGAAGGCCAACAACAACCCGGTAGGTATCCTCGCTGCTGCTTCTCATCTGGCCAGAGGTGGCTCCTGGGCTGCAGGGTAGCTGGAGCCTCGGGGAGGGCTGAGGAGGCAGCGGTGTCTGTGCCCTGGGCAGTGGATGCAAGCAGCAGTCCAGAGGCCGCAGCTTCTCAGCAACCGCATCCTCTGGGTTCGCTCCACCTCAGAGCTCCTAGCAGCTAGGTCACTATGATGACTCTGTAATTAATGCACCAAAAAAAAAAAAAAAAATCTGGTTAATAGCTTAGGGATCTTTCTTAGGTACATTTTTTAAAAACCTTATTTTTTCTTTTTCTTTTTTTAAAGATTTATTTATTTACTTACGATAGACATAGAGAGAGAGAGGCAGAGACACAGGCAGAGGGAGAAGCAGGCTCCATACAGGGAGCCCGACACGGGACTCGATCCCAGGACCCTAGGATCGCGCCCCAGGCCAAAGGCAGGCACCAAACCGCTGAGCCACCCAAGGATCCCCTATATTTTCTTAAATCTCTATTTTCATGCCAGAAAATGAAAGCATTTTCTTCTATTCAGCACGTGTTCTAGCATCCTTGCCCTAAATCTCCTCCCTCCTCTCTGACCCCCACTGGCCCGCGACCCCTCATCCCTCACTCCTATGTCTTCAGTGAAAAGGCAAGGACATCTCTGGGTTTAGAAAGGGCTGTTTGTTTAGAGACTTTATTGTCATCTCTGGACAGTTCTGGGCCTTTTCTGCAGAACACTCGGCCCCCTGCCCTGCCACTCGCCCCCAGCCCTGCACCCTGCCACCCGGCCCCACAACCCGTGACCGGTTCCCCACCCCGCGGTCAGCACAGTCTCTGTGTCCGGTGCAGAACTAATCTCAGAGCTGCTTCAAAGAGGAGCCGGCCCAAGGTTGGCTAATGAAGATATTTTGCCTTTTTCCTACAAGCATGGCGAAACAGGTTTAATTTGTACTAATGAATAGCTTAAACCAAGCCTGATTGGGAATTACAAGCTGGAATTTTAGTCACAGGAAAATGAAGTATTTCACAAGCTACTTACTTTCATGAACAAACCAAACCTCTCTTTTACTGAGTCTTTAATTCTTCAGTAAAATTCTCCAATTAAATAGGCTGAGACATTACAGAAGGGCTAGAGCAAACTCTATTAAATTGGTAAAGCCACACCCATGCTGGGAGGCCCCAGGGGCTTTTATAAATTAGACCCTTTCTGGATCACATGGGTGAAAGCAAAGTAACCTTTTAACTTTAAATTTCTCTCCTGGAAATGATTAGGAGAGCAGCATATTATAGTAACCCAAAATTCCGATCTCTTTGAGATCTTCTCTTTCTGTCTTGGGTTTTTAGAATTTAAAGGAACCTTAAAAGTCGACTTTACTCTTAACCAAACACTCTTAATATTAATTTCGTTCCCATGGAGTATCCTTCTGCATACCCCACTGAGATCCACACGCTCTCAGAAGGACCCCCATTGCCCTTGGCCCCAGCTGATACCATCTGAGCAGTTCCTCTTGGCTAGGAATCTGTATTTTGGTCTTTTTTTTTAAAGATTTTATTTATTTATTCATGAGACATAGAGAGAGAGAGGCAGAGACACAGGCAGAGGGAGAAGCAGGCTCCATGCAGGGAGCCTGATGTGGGACTCGATCCCAGGACCCCGGGGTCATGCCCTGAGCTAAAGGCAGATGCTCAACCCCTGAGCCACCCAGGTATCCCTGTATTTTGGTCTTAAGGAAATAAATAAGAGACTCAAAATCAAGGCTTGGGCTTCACCGTACACGGGGCGATGGAGGGGCACAGGAGGACAGAAATCAGCGTGTACTGCTAGGGGACAAGTGCCTGCTCCTGCCCTCTACCTCCGAACCAGAGACTGCGGGCCAGTCTGAAAGGCAGCATGCAGGTGTGGCCTGTGATCCCATGATTGTGCTCTCTACGCCTGCGACCACCTCCCCAGGTCTCTACATGATGAGGTCATGTCCCTTCCCCGTCTCCCCACCCAGCCCAATGGGGCACTTCTGGGGAGCCTGGAGCTCCCAGTGCAGGACACAGCCTCTGCTTTCCTATTTTCCATGGCCTCTAGATCATGTAACACAAGACCTGCAGCTCGCCTAGAACTGGTTAGGAGGCTCGGTGAGCCAGGAGAGGGATGCTATGGGATGGTGGTGGGGAAACGGTGTTGGAGGAGGAATGAAGCTGCTGGAAGCATGTAGATTCCATTATTTTGGGGAAAAGATGGGTTTTAGCTGAGGGCAGGGAGTGATGGGAGGGACAGTGAATGTTTCTGTCTGGTCATGGGCTGGTTTGAGCACTTGAGATTTAAGAACCAGAGGCCAGGAGATGGCCAGGGTCCCAAGTCACCTAGGCAGAGCCTATCAGGCCCCTAGTCACCTAGATATTGCTCGTCAGGTCCCTGGTTGGCCCTTGACTCGAGGACGGCAGGGGTGGAAGCTGAGCTGACAGAGGACAGGCTCACCAGTCCCATCTGAACTTGGCTTCCAAAAGTCACGCTTTTCAACAGTGTCATAGAAAGTTGGTGTGTTGACATGTGAGGTGTTAAGAATGTCACAGGAAGACATTCCAGGAGGCCACAGGCAATGAGACGGTGAGGAGCGCTGAAGTCTGCGCCTCTTGTGTGAGGTTTGCAGCCAAGGGCCCAGGCTGCAGCCCCGTGCAGGTGCACCGCACGCCCGCCCCTGCTCCAGCTCGCTTCTGGCTTTAGAAGCTCGTTGCGCCTCTGGAACCCAGGGGAGGGTGTTCAGATTAAAAAAAAACAATTATTTAGCGCTATTTGCGTGCCAGTCGTATAATAGTACTACTGCTACTTTGTAATGTCACAAACATGTCACAACTTCATTCAAATGAAGGGGACAGCGTATGTTTGTCTCAGAGATAAACAGGGAGCTCGGAATCGTCAGGAATAATCTTCAGAGTCTTTGAGTGTCTTCAGTTATGGAAAATCTGTGTCCTCTGAGAAGATAAGTGAATTTTAGACAAAACCACGAGTCCGTTGCAGAAAGCCAGTAACAGAGTCAAGTGTCTTGTCTGAGAAGAATGAATGAAGCAAGGGGATGAATTTTTGGCATGTGGCTGAGAATAGACTCTAACACTTGTTTTGAGAAGGCTTCCCCCCTCCCCCAGAAAAAAAAAAAAAAAGAAGGCTTCCCACATTACTCTCAGCCTTTTGAAATCTTCGGGACAAGGGGCCTTCTGGGCACCATCCTGAAATGATTCACCCCATGGTGGGGTTTTGCCCACTGTGTTCTGTTGAAATAGTATACCCATGACTTCAGTTGCCTTAAGATTGAAAAATATACTTAATATTTTATACTGTTTCTAGAAACATGTAGTAAAACCTAACCAGAAGCTTATTAAATGGTTTCATCCAAAGCAATTCTACCAATAAATCACAATTAAATTTTTCCTGAAAGATGGTGCTGCCTGACTTTATGTGGAAAATACTACTTAGATGTATGTGAAGACGAGTTCTTGTCAGTATTGTCATTAACACATACAGAGCAGCGTCAGGCGTGACTGCAGTGATAGTTGTCAGGAGAACCTTCTGGTCTCGGTGGGGCATGATTTGGGGGAGAGGCTGGGTAGCTTTCTCCCTCGTGCTGTTTAAACTCGTGACAACATGCTTTATTTATCTACAATGACCACCTGTGATGTCAGATACATTCATTTCCAAACTTAAGTATAAAAGGCGCGTTCCATAGTTAAATATAAGCAGCATGGATTCTTAAAAATAGTCTTATCAACAGTGTTTATCAAGTGTGTTAGTATATGCATTTTCTCTTGAGCTTCCATAAACGTTGGTTTCTTAATGTTAGCACTGGTTTTGAATTCAGATGGTTTCTAATTTTGTCTGTTAATGAGGCCCTGCCTTCTTAAAATCCAAGTGATAATTTTATAAAAGTAAAACAAAGTATTTGTACCAGTCGCATCCCCATTTACGAGAGTATGTTTCACATAAAACTAGTCCTGGGCGGGTTTCACGGGTGTGTGTCCTGTTTCACGAGGCCTGAGCCTCGCGTTGGCATTTAACGCCCCGCTGTCACTCTCTTGAAATTCTTCATCATTTTTGAGTGACAGGCCCCATGTTTTCATTTTGCCCTGAATCCTGCAAATTCTGTGGCCAATTCCACAAGATACTCAAGTGAAGGATGCAAGTCCTCTGTGATCACACACTTGGGGCACCGCTGCCTGGCCTGGCCTGTTCCTGAGGCTTCGCGGTGCATCCGTGCTGCGGTCGAGGTTTTCGGAGGCCCTAACTTCACAGAACTCAGCATTTCCCAGATGTCTTTGGGCCACACAACCTTTGTTTTTAATGCTTTTATGTACTTTTTTTTACAAAGCCAGTGATACAGCCAAGGTGGCCTACTAGCGTGTTAACTGGAATCAAAGGGTTACTGCTATGTATCCTTCAAGAGCATCCCTCCCGTCCACCCTAGAATATTCATGCCTTTGCTCTGAGCTACTTCCCGTGAAGCAGAACTGCCCCCAAACAACGGTAATGTGGCCTGCTTCTTCCGGGCTTTGGAGGGAGACAAGTTTAGTGTTCCTCAGTCACACTTGAGATATTCAGGACTCAGGCTTTTGTATTCACAATGTTTTCACTCGTTCGTGGGTAATTTTTAGAGTATCCCCTTTCTTCAGATGTAGAATCAAATTATTGTTTTGTCCAACCCTGTATTGCAAATTCTGATTTTGTTTAAACATTTCAGAGACAACCCCTTGCTATGTGCCAACACATCTGCCTTGCTTCTGAGATAAGTACGCCCTCCAGGTGCCCTGCAGGTGGTTTTGGGCTGTGGTTCTTCCAGATAGTCTTGGGGGCCCAGAAATAGGGACCACATCATGCCACGGGGCCACATACAGGGTCGGTTATGTATTTTGCCCATTGGCAGAGTGAGGCTTAAAATAACAAGCTGCTTATGCATTCCACATTTAAGTATCCTGGTAGAGGGACGCCTGGGTGGCTCAGCGGTTGGGTGTCTGCCTTTGACTCAGGGTGCGATCCCAGATTCGAGTGGTTCCCACATTCAAGTCCCACATCTGACTCCTTGCAGGGAGCCTGCTTCTCCCTCTGCCTGTGTCTCTGCCTCTCTCTCTCTCTCTGTCTCTCAGGAATAAATAAATAAAATATTTTTAAAAAATGAATAAATAAAATCTTAAAAAAAAATAAGTATCCTGGTAGAAATGGAAAATAATACTTTGGCCCGCCTCGTTACTGATCGGTAGAACACATTATAAGTCAGAGAGATCCCTCAGAGCCTGGCATTTCTTCTGCTCTGCACACAGATCCGGTGTGTGTTTTGGCCAACAGCACAAAACATTTATGTCCGTTCTCCTGTGCCCCACCAGATATATAATCCCTTCCGCGCATGCTGGCTTCAAATAATATGGCCAATAGTCTCTTCTTTCCTCCAACTGGATCCTTAGAAAATGGCAGGACCCGTGGGCTTAGAAGCAAATGGTAAGGCAACATGGAAGTTGCCAGCACTGCGGTTCAGTGCTTCTTCCAGAACACAGAGCACCAAAATGAAGATTTTAGTCTTACACACAGGGAAACGAGGGTGCTTCAGGTTTTTCCCAGTTTATTCCCAAAGAGCAAGGGCTTAACAATGCTTGTTTGCTGATTGCTACACAAATGCCAACTTTCTGAGTTCTGTATGTTTACTCCCCAAACCTAGTCACGTGGCAGTCAATGTCAGATAACGATGGTTACCTCCAAAGTTCATAAAATGGTAAAATTGAGAATTCTTGCGGGATGAGCGAAAGAGGTGAAAGCACAGATTTTTTTTAGCTATAAAATAAATAAGCCCTGGGAATGAAAAGGACAGCATGGGGACTGTTGTCAGCGGCATCGTAGTTACGTTGTCTGGTGACTCCACTCCGTCGGAGCGGGCACTGTGTGATGTGTAGACCTGCTAAATCGGTATGTTGGGCACCTGAAACTCACATGACACTGTGTGTCACCTGTACTTTGGTAATAAAATTTTAAAATTACTATAATTAGGGCCATCGCAGTAGTATTTAGGAGTTCAGAGAATATTATAAAATATTAAAAGTGCTTTGCGAATACTCTCTTCTTAGCTATATTGCTGAAATCAGGACTTCACTTTCACGGCGATGAAATCCCCACTTGGTGTGAGGCAACGATGATTACTATCTTACTGATTTATGCCGTTAGTTCTCTCCGAATGTCTTTGTGTCCCCAGCCAATTCTGAGGTTACTTCAGGACAGAGACTGCGTTTTGTTCACATTTTGCTTCTCTGCAGGTGATCTGCAGACAGTGGCTGCTGATCAGCTCACCGATAATTAAGAGGACAGCCTGTCAGCAGTTACCTGGCTCACTTCCATGTCTTTCTTTGCAGCCCTTTGTCATACATGACATGGAGACGTTGTGCATGGCCGAGAAGACTCTGGTGGCCAAGCTGGTGGCCAATGGCATCCAGAACAAGGAGGCAGAGGTGCGCATCTTCCACTGCTGCCAGTGCACATCTGTGGAGACCGTCACGGAGCTCACGGAGTTCGCCAAGTCCATCCCTGGCTTCGCGAACTTGGACTTGAATGATCAGGTCACTCTACTGAAATACGGAGTGTATGAGGCCATATTTGCGATGCTGTCTTCTGTGATGAATAAAGATGGGATGCTGGTAGCCTATGGAAATGGCTTTATAACTCGTGAGTTCCTAAAGAGCCTAAGGAAACCGTTCTGTGATATCATGGAACCAAAGTTTGATTTTGCGATGAAGTTCAATGCACTGGAGCTAGATGACAGCGACATCTCCCTTTTTGTGGCTGCTATCATTTGCTGTGGAGGTAAGTCGTTGACGTAACCCAGTGCCGTGTCACCTGCAGCCTCCTGGTGCACACGTGCATCGTGCACAGTGGAGCACGCGCTGGCGGATGGGAGGGCGTCTATGCCCCTACATCGCTGCCGATTGGAATTCAGTGAGATTTATATCCTATCATATCACAGTACAGCATACGTTATTATATATAAACACATAGTTGTGCAGTAAATGAATATGTTCCATTCATAATTATGTTGTATATGTAATATTCTATTTGTAATCATAATATAATCATATCAAATATAATATATTAGGTGTAATGGTAATATAGTTTTATCTAATATATTTAATATATATTAGAAAGAATTATGTTACAATGTACAGTGTATCATGTCACTGTTATATAATTCTATTATTATAGTGTTATATCCGTATTATAGGCAGTATTCTATAAAGGGCCGTACAGATGTTAGTGCAGTTTATTTCACCATTGGTATATTTATTCCATTTCATAATGAAAAATATCAGTAGCTCACTGGCAGTGTTTGCAGTTTGCTTTGCCAAAGGAAATGGATCCCAGTGAAGGAAAATCTGGGCCTCTCTGCAAGGAAGCTGGCTCTACAGCTCCCAGAATTTTGGCTCAGTGTCATGTTCCTTTAAATAACCCTGTCCTGGTATAAGAAGGTCATCCCTATACTGTAAACTCAGCTGACCTCACCCAGCCTCCAGGGAGGCCGAGGGGGTGACCACCGACCACTGCTGCAAACTGCCAGAAGCTGTACTGTCCTGCACGGTTTGCTGACTTGCAGGGCTGAGGCTGGCTACAGACGCCCAGACGCTGGAAGCTCACAAGGCCTGTTCCTGTTACTGTTCAGCTGCCCCCAGTCAGGTGGAGGGAGTCCTTCTGCTCTGGCAAAAAATGTAAAATGCAAAAACAGTTGTACATAATCTACATTGTCCTTTGTATGCTCGAGATGTAGTGCTGTGAGTAAAAAGCAAGCGCACAACCATTTATAGGTAGTACGAGCAGAGTTTTCTAAAAGAAGTTATAATCGTTTATCAATCCCGGGGCGCCCGGTCAGCTCAGTCAGTTAAGCATGTGACTCTTGATTTCAGATCAGGTCATGATCTCAAGGTCGTGAGATCCAGCCCCACATTGCGCCCCGCACTGAGTGGGGAGTCTCACCGCACATGCTCTCCATTTCTCTCTCTCTCTCAAAAAAAAAAATCATATATCAATCCTATGTATAGAAAAGTGTCTGGTGTGGTATACCTTAAACCTTACGAGGGGAATTCGCTTTCTGTTTTTTTTTTTTTAATCTCTCTGTTTAAAAAGTTAGTAATTATATTTATTTTACAACCCCAGAAAAAGCAATGAAAAAATCCACATCCTTAGCAGCACTTTTAACAACCCTAGTAAGGAGTGGGGCCTTAAAGAGAGCACTGCCTATTGGACGGTGGTGGGGACAGGGAATATTCTAGACCAAAGACCCGTGTGCCCAGGACGTGTGCATTCCTCTGTCCCAGGAGGTCTGGTGCCTGCGGTTGAGCTGCCCCGGGGAGGGTGTGTGGTGTACACGTTGAACTGCCTGCACTGGATCTCAGGCATTCCAGGGGCTCGTCAGCACCCCATCGAGGTAGCATCTACCACTCACATCTCACTCCATATGCAGCAGATTCATATTGGAAGATTCCTAGCATCCGTTCCCCTAACGAGTGCTTTTTACCACAAAACCCAGTCTAACGCAATCCTTAAAACAGTGGTGGAGAACTTAAAACCGAATATCTAGTTTTGATTCAAGATGTATTTCATTTCATATTATACAAAACTGGTTGTTTTAATCGTCATCAGAATGTCTGATTACTCCTATGTTTTGGGTTTTTTCCCCTAATCGGTGGTCATCAGGGAAATCCAAAATGAAAGGGCCATGGTGTAGGGTAGCTGGTCGACTTAAGGGAGTACAAAAATACTTAGGATCGAGTATTTGTCCTGTCTGCGCATTAGGCCCAGTGACTTTGGAAGAATCGAGGTCTGTCTTCCCGCCGAGTCGACGTTATCGGAAGGCAGTGTAAGAGTAAGAATGTTTGGTCTCCCGAACCCATAAACAGTTAGGAGGTGTCCGTGGGAGGTTTATCACAACCGTCTCTTCTTTCTTTTGAGAATAGATCGCCCCGGCCTTCTAAACGTGGGACACATTGAAAAAATGCAGGAGGGCATTGTGCACGTGCTCAAACTTCACCTGCAGACCAACCACCCGGACAACATCTTTCTCTTCCCAAAACTCCTTCAAAAAATGGCAGACCTCCGGCAGCTGGTCACCGAGCACGCACAGCTGGTGCAGGTCATCAAAAAGACGGAGTCGGACGCAGCCCTGCACCCCCTGCTGCAGGAAATCTACAGGGACATGTACTGACAGCTTGAGAGCCAACCGCACGACAAGCAGCTCTTCGAGGACTTTTAAAGTCGACAGCACTACAAATGAAAACTGGGAGCAATGCCTGCTTTGCACAAATTCCACCATTTTCACCTTAGAGAATGGGACGGATGAGTCCTAGGTAACCGGAACCCTAGACCACATTTCTTTCTTTTTCACACCAGTACTTGTAAGAGCGTGCCAAGTGTCGAAACGCCGGTGACAGGTAGCTGATAGGCAGTTCTTGGAAAATTAAGGGGAATGATGCCCAGCGGTCTGATTTTAACTCACTTGATGTTAATCCATGCAGATTTCTTTATATCACATTAGCCGTGTAGCCTTGAATTAACTGGTGACCTTGAAATACGTGGTCTGTCTTCTCTTTCTGCCCCCTGTTGACTCTTGCGCTCCTTTGTATCGTTTTGGAAACTAATCAGCACTTTTTAACTTTTATAATCCTGTAAATCTAGATGAATCCAAAGGTTAGGTTATTTTTTAAAAGCAGCAAAATATTTATTGGGGAGACTTTAATTCTGTTTCCTGAATTTGAAGAAAGACAACATGCTGTTTCTTAATCAGAGGATTTGAAATTTCCAAGGATTATTTGATAAGCTATCCAAATGCAACAGTCGGTCGGTTTTCACTGTGTTGGGGGTTGTGACTTAATAGGCAGGAGGGCCTGTTTCTAGGTTTGTCTAGAAGATCCCAGAAAACTGAGTCTCAAGACTCCCCCCCGGACTTGACGCTCTGCTTGTTTTCTCCAGCTGGTGTCTGTGGTCCCGTGGTCAGCAGGAACAAGACAAACGGAGACTATGTCAGCTCTCCGACCCTCTGACCTCTGTCTCCTATCAAATCTGAACCAACCGAGTCAGGTTGTTTGGGGGCCATGATAGTGTTTTCTTGGGGGGGGGGGCAAACCGACAGGTTGGTTGCCAACGTGTCTTTGGGCCCCGTGTGTCAAGGCAGCTCCTTGGTCTTTTCCTGTGTTGCTTTTTAAAATACGCAGCTTTATTTTTTTAACCCTCGGTGGTGGTAGCTGCTCCTGGGAGTGTAAAAGATGAGGCACACGGGCCTTTATAGTGTGGGCCCGGGGGCAGGGGGACCATGTGGAGAATGAGAAGGGCAGGCATAGAATCCCTTCATGTGACAGTTTTCCAATTACGTGTGGAAGGTGGTTTTCCCAACATCTGAAATATTTGCTTCAGCCTTAAAGATCATTTCTTAACCTGGGTCTGGTTACAAAAGCAGTGCTGATGGTGGTGATCATCCAGACTCTTTCTGTCCACCATGGTAGGTACATGTCCTGTCAGAGGAGGTGCAGCAGCCCCACCCTCCAGGCTGGGCCGACCGGGGTCCCTGAAGCACAGGGGTGGGGGTCTCAGGCCACCTGCCTCTGACCCCCTGCCTCGCAGCAGCTCTTAGGACCTGACCCCACAGGGCGCTGCCCCCTCCGTCTCTAAAAAACTTGACTCTGTAATGTTGCTGTGATTTGCTCTTGAAGAATGACTAGGGTTGAAATCGATAAAGTTCCCAAGATCAGCGTCACGGAAATGCAACGGGACAGAGAACAGTAAAACAGTGGGCCTTCACCTCGGAAAGGCGAATGTGACCACAGGCACATCCTTTTCAAAATTAAACCTTACTGGTAGTTTTCATTCTTTGTTGCATGATCCAGTCAGAGGATCTGTTGGAAGCAAACAGAAGTATTTCCACACGTGAACAACAGCAGTCAAGAGGTCAACCAAGGTCAGAGGGAGGGCACACGTGTGTCAGTGTTCTTCTGATCTCCTGGGCTGGTGAGCCTGGAGGGCCGTGGCTCGACCTGCACCAGGTCTGTGTCCCGTCCATGCCACCACTGGCCTGTCTCTCCTCACATGGCCCCAGACAGTTGCCATGCACAGATGTGGCCTCAGAAGGTGATCCTCGAGACCCAGGCTCCAGACTCACTCTGTCTCTGTTTTCGTAAAACTTATTTTTAAAAGTTCCTTATTTCATGCGTTCTGCGGGGACAGCCAGACTGCGGAAGGCCCAGGTTCTGCATTCCGAGTGTTAGTGAGCATTTGGCTCTCCTGGGGCCCAGTGAGGCCCCCGGCCAGGTTCCTGGTGAGGCCACGAGGGAGGCTGCAGAGACCTCAGCTCGAAAGTCACTTGAGTTGGTTCACTTTTATGGATAAGTACAAAAATCACAGATTCCCATTCATTTTAAATAATAGTCACTGTTTGCCACACAGAATATCTGGGCCACCTAAACAAAGATTTCTCAGGCCACCGACAGTCAGATATGGACGAACTATTCACCAGTTGAAAATACCATAGCATTTCCAGGAGGGACCCGTTAAAGCGCCCCTCTTGCCTGCTGGGTTTCAGTAGATGTCAGCATAGAGTGCAGTAGATACAGCAGAACAGGTTCAAGAAGCCTCAGACCGGAGCATGGAGCCCCTCCTTTGCTGGGGAACTCAGCACACGGGGCAGCCCCCTCATCACCACCTTGACGCTCTTCCAACAAGTCCCTGTTTGTAGCCACCAAGTGCCAAACGCCTGCGAGACCCCAAAATTACCAACAGCCTTTGTCTGCAAGGGCTGACAAGGACAAATCCAGGGAGCCGGCCGGCCCTCTCCCTCCCCATCCCTCAGCCTCCCTCCTCCTCTTCCTCCCCTCCTCCTCCTGGGCCTTTCCAGTCGGGTGTCCCACACTCGGAATTTTGGCCCTGCCACCCTGAGGGCTGCCCATGCTGGTGGCCGCTTTGGTGAAGCCCAGCATCGACAAAACCAGGATGCTCGCAACTGCATCAGCGCGAGCGGGAGGCAGGAGCACTTTGGGTATCACCGCAGTGCCAGTCACCTGCTCCTCTCTTCCCGCCTTGCTCTCAGCTTCCCCCGTGGCCTTCCTGTCACTCGTGGATAAGATGCCTCTAAAGCACCTAAAGAGTAGGTGTACGTGTGTCAGTAAGAATGTGAGGTCCAGGAGGAGAATCCGGTGCACGGTGCCTTCGGGTACCCGTGGGAGGGCTGCCCCTCTTTCAGAGGGACTTTCTTCCTTTTAAGAGTGAGAATGTCTCTCTCTCCATTGCGGATGCATTTCCTACACTGGGCTGCGTGAAGCTCCGAGGAAACGAGCGGCCTCCAGGATCGTGCGGTGGTTCCGGAGACAAGGCAGCATCCTAGGATCCAAGCAGAAGCTCCAAGCACAAGTAAACTTCTTTGTTCAATGTATGATGATAAGTAAGCTAATAATTTTGCAACTACTGTTTCCCCAAATCTCCAGCATAACAGCTACCTCAGTAAGATACATCGAAAGGCACAGCTAAAATTAAGGTGCGTGGAACACTCGGGGTCCTTTTGGAGCGTCTCTGGTCCGATCATTTATGGTTAAGATTCAGAAGCTACACACCTTTGCCTGGTTACACGCCGTAGTTCTTCTTAGAGGCACTTTCGTTGTTTCAAGGGAGCCTCAAAGATAACGCATGTTGCGGGAGTTGCATTCCAGCATGACCGAGGTCTCGGAGAAGTGGAGCGGCCACCGCCTGCAGTGACCCACGTGTGGAGGGCCTCCCCTGCCCTTCAGCTGGCTCCCTAAGCCTGTTCGTAGAGGGACCCCAGCCAGAAGAGGCTGGAAGGAGATGCCTCCGGGCACACGTGGCCGGGCCGTGACTCTTCCAAGGGCTCCCTACCAGTAGATACACCTGTGCCCCCATGCTGCCTCCAGGCACTTTGCTTCATGCCCCCCCCCCCTTCTTCAAACCCCAGTGGTGCCAAGCACATTTGATACCTAACTGCTGGACACAGGATGGAGGGTTTTTTGTCTTGACCCGGCGGCCACACCTGTCTCTGGAATGTCTTGCAAACTCATGTGTCAAGAGGGTGAAGGTGTCCGTCAACCCCCCACCGCAGGTGTCTCCGGAAGGCTCCCTTGCTTAGAGAGCCTTCCTTTGAAGTTCTCGGCAGTGGCGTCCACTCAGGATGGCGAGGACATTCTGCTGTCCGTGGAAGTCACAAATTGAGACCGCTGCCACCAGCTGAGGGCTTCCTGGGTTTTCCCCACATATAAAGTCTTTATGGTGTTGGCGCTGCCAGGCACTGGGCGGCTCCAAAGCCAGGCTCTCTGTACTTGCTCTGCTCCTGTGAAAGTGGCCTAGCTTCTCTTAACTCCTGGTCCAAGCTGATTTATAGGGTTCCCCTGGGATGAAGGATTCTTGCCAGGCTCCGAAGGTGGAGGTCGACGGTTTTGCTGGGATATATATAGTTATATATTTAGGTGCCATTTTAATAGAATTCAGGGAAATGATCCTTGACCCCCACAGCCTGTAAAATGCACCAGAGTAAGAAGAATGGCAGTGACTTTCCGTCTGACTCAGGATATAGGAGATCCACTACATTTCTCTGGAAACCACAATGCAAACTAGAGGTGGTATTGGAAGTTTTATATGGGAAAAAAAAAAAAGTGAATCATCACGCATTAAACGAATTACGGAATTCCATCCATTTTGCTGGTTTTGTGGCGTGCAGGGAGTGTCTTCAGTCTCCGCGGAGGGGGCTGAGGCCCCTAAGAGCAGCGGGAGTGGCCCATGCATTAGGACAGTGAGGGACAGGCTGGAGGCCAGCGTGCGTTGCCCGGGCCGCCTCCTAGGGCCTGCGGGGGGCTCTCAGCTCGCCATCTGCTTCTCGACATTTCAGTCTGAGACACAGACGATGTCAACGATGACAACCCCACCTCTCGGAAACCGGGGGTTGGGGAGGTGACCATACAGTGCGGCCCAGCTGAAGCTCAAACAGCCACATCCTTTTGGAGTTCTTTGCCAAATGGAACAGACCAAACTGCATCCATGTTCGGGGTCACATCTTGATGGAAGGAGTGGAGAAGGTCAAGGACTCTAATGGCCTGTAGCTGTTCAATGCACTATTTGCATTTAAAAAAAAAAAAACTAAGAAACTGTTTTTTCTTTTTTCTTTTTGTTTTTCTTTTCTTTCTTTCTTTCTTTCTTTTTTTTTTTAACACATCAGAGATAGGGTTAAGACTTTGGATCAGGTTTTTTTCATTTAAAATGTTTGCTAATTCGGGTCAAATGTGAAGAACATCCCCAAGTGCTTCTCCAGAGAAGGGAATGTACTAGCCTCCTCCGCCCTCCCCCTTCTCCCCATACTCAGCCTCTGAACTTGGCTGATTCGACGAACTGCAGCATCCAGCAGACCCATGTGCAGACCTGCCCTCCCCGTGAGCTTAGATGTGAGGGTTCCTGGCCCCAAGGGGGTCCTCTGGCCTCAGCATGGCCCGTGCAAGGCAAGGAGGGGGGGATCAAGCTTCAAGCCCTGAAGACCAGTGAGTGATCAACCCTTCCAAAGTAAGAAATCATTCACTTTTGGAAAACCATCTTTTAAAAAGCACCGACGGTCTGTTCCTTTTTTTCTTAAAAACAAACAAACAAAATGTACCTCACAATACGTGAATACCACTCGGTACCCTTCTCAGTAAGATCACAGTATTTGTATTTGAGTGTCATTTTCCTACACTGTGCGGTGAAAAGAACCATGTTGATCGCTGTATCTTAAATACTGTGATTCAAGTTCAAGAAAAATTTTAGTATAAATATTTTACTAACTTATAATCACGCATCTAATAACTAAGGTTTGGGTTCTTTTGAAATCAGTTGACATATACTCTTAGTAGCCTGGCTCTTGGAACCTACTGGAAACACGAAGGACGCTGGGCTAGAACAGCCGACGTGCAGTGGCACACGTGTGTGCACACGGGCACACACGCGCACACAGACATGGCTTTTCATCTCTCCCGAGCCACACAGAATTTATTTCCGTGTGTAAATCTGTCCCCTTCATCAGGCGTCACACGCGGGAAGCACAAGCAAGCCTGTTGCACCGTCCCCCGCACCCCCTCAAAGCCGGGAGGCCGGAGCCCCGGGTCTGAAGTCATGCAGTGCTCGCGCAACGTCCTGAAGACCCAAACTCTTCCCGGGTGGTGAGCCGCCGTCTGCGCTTCAGGGAATTGTCACCTGTGGGTTATTACCAAAGAACTCGGGCAATCCAAAACCTTCTGACAGGGTATTTGCACGTCGGGCTCTCTGCAGCCCCTGGACGGCACCCCCCGCCCCCCCCCCCCGAAGCACACAATGGAAACCACAGGCCCCACCAGGCTCCCTCGGCTCGTTTGTAGTATCCTGGCGGAATGTGTTCTTGGGGTCCCCGTGTGCCACCCCTGGGGTCCCCAAGGCCGAGGGGAGGGCCAACACGTGTCAGAACATCCAACGCGTGCAGGTTTCAAAGGCAAGATCTTGGTGTGTCCCTCATTACCACTTAGGTGCCTTATACTCAGATGACAGACCCCTCGTCTTCATGCTAAACGGGGGCAGCTCCAGAGAGATCCTTTAGGGCGGGTTCTGGTGTCTCAGTTGGGGTCGGGGGTCTGGGCGGGGCCTCTGGGGCCTCAGGGAGCAGGGGTGGGCTCAGAAGAACAAATGCAACAACGTCCCGAGTCACGTTAACCAATAGCGATTCCGAGCAATTAGAGGACTAGGACTTTAATTTCAAGAAATCTTCGGTCTTATTCTGTTTCCTGCTAGGAGGTTGAACTGATCACATCTGTTGATCCAAGTCCTGAGTTGATGGGAATGTACGTGTCTGGAATGTCCTGCTGTAAGACTGATGAATGTAAGGAGTTAATTTCAGGGTACAGTGTTGCCTTAATGGTTTTAAAAAATAAAACTATTTTTTAAAATCAGTCGGTGAGTTTTGAGTGATGCTGGGAGGCGAACGTGTAGTGAAAATCCCCGGCAGCAGCGTCTGCCCTCAGCCCAGCGCGGCCCCGCCCGCAGGGGTCTTCGCCTCTAGGCAAAGGCACAGCATGGACCTGGGACAGTATGGCCGCAGGATGACAGCCATTTGCCTGCAGTGATGCAGGGGAAGCGTCTGGAAATAAAACCCAGTGCGCAGATTGGCTGATAAAAGCTTTTTATTTGTTCTCTCCTCACCCACTGCCGAGGTGGGGGCCGCGGGAGCCCCCGGGGAGGGGTGCCCATGGGGGAGGAGTGCCCCAGGGTCAGTGCTGAGTCTCCCGTGGAGAGGGGCAAGCAAGCAGCTCAAGTTCCGAGGCCCTGCAGGAGGGCGGGGGAAAGCATCCCTGTGCCTGGGAATGGGATTGGGCCTGGGGCAGGGGCCAGAGCCCGCGGAAACGGAGGAGGCTGCAAGTGGCAACGCCCAACCCCCAGCCACGCATGCCAGGTCCGAGTGCCAAGGGGAACATCTGTCTTGCAAATGTTTCAAAACATTAACTGAATCTTTGGGCTTTTAATTATGAATCTAACACATGGTCAAGATTTAAAACATTATCCAGGTATCATGAAGGTGTGAAGTAAAATTCCACCGGCCTCAGGCCCCCTAATCACCATGTGCAGCTGCCCACACCCCTCAGGCACCTTCCCGCAGGTCACCTCCCTGTGAACCATCCCACTGAGTGATGTCTTCACTGCGTGGACACCACTCCCCGGGATGGGGAAGGCACGTGTCCTCACTCCAGCCCTCCTGCCTCCATGTCAGCACGGGTGGCACGACCCCCAGCGCGACCAGAGGTCCTCCCCACACTGGACCAGGACAGTGGGCTTTGTCCCTTCACTCCTGTGTCCTCAGGGCCAAGGGGAGCAGCACGTCACCGGAGGCAATTCCTGGATCTGATGAATCCGCACAGGGCCCTCCAGGCCTGGCCCCGGGTACACAGACGCCAGGGGATGACCTGGAGGGGCGGCCTAGAAGTCCAGGTCCGGGGAGGGGGGCGGAAGGCCCAGATGGCCCAGACTCGGCTTCCCTCGGTGCTGGTGTCTAGCCCTTCGTCAGTTCCCGCCCTGTGGTCTCGGCATCGAGGGGGCTCTTGGATGTGCGAGGCCTGCCCCCCAACGGCCTTCTCTGCCCACCTCCCGGGCCCCTTCCTGCTGCAGGCTGGGCCCCTGCTCTCTGCAGACGCTGCTCCTGCCTGCCCCGGGATGAGGCTGCCATGACAGCTCCCGTACAGCCCCATCCCCGCCGCGGGTGCAGAGGCCTGGCGGCCCAGGGGCTCCATGAGAGGTGCCGCTGCCACCCCCGCACCTGGCCGCACTCACGTCCGAGAGCCAGGCTGGCTGGCAGGCCTCTTCGATGGAGCTTTCCTTTTCTCCAAGTCTTGCCGGATTTCCTGAGGGAAGGCGTCCATGTTCTCCCGGACACAGGGGAGGCAAAATCTCTTGGAGTAGAATAAACTGCATTCCTGAAAGAGGCCGGGGAAGGATGCGGGCTAAGTACCAGAGCAGGGAGTGCAGTGCAGGCTTCTCAGAGGCCAGCCCTTGGCCATGTACAGGAGCCGGTGGGGAGTGGCAGGGCGGGGGGGGGCAGCGGTCAGCTGGGCAGAGGGTGGCCAGGATGGGGCAGCCAGGGCCAGAATGGCACAGGGGACAGCAGGGCCCAGGGCCTGGCCAGCCACCTCCAAGAATGGTCATCACCTAAGAGGAAAGACCACAGAGGGCTGCTGGGGAGCAGAGAGCCGACCTCCATCAGACCCCACAGGCAGTGGGGCGTCGGGGGTTCTGAGCAGGTGAGCATCACCCAGTAAGACTGGTGAAGGTGTCAGAGAGCAGGCCCGGGTCGACCAGGGTGGAAGGGCCAGGATGGCATGGAAGAGCTCTGGGGACTGCCCGGCTCCATCATGAGTGAAGTGATAACAATGCATAGCAGCAGCAGAGCCCAGACCTAGAGAGTCAGAGACCCGACATCCCCTCCCTGGTTATCAGCAGTGGGCAAGGGTTCGGCGACCACCGGGCTGGGGGCAGCCACACACACCATAAAGGCCAAAGGCAGGTGGCTGGTTTGGGTGGGAGGTCAGATCTGTGCAATGGGGGCCACCCTCCCTTGTGCCCATCCTCTGCCACTCAATCCCTGAGACCCACTGCCCAGGGCCCCGTCCACAGACTACTTTCCCAGCCCCTTCTGCAACTGGGTGTGGCCACATGGCTGGGTCTGTGTCGCTGGCAGCTCTGCGCCACCTCCCAGGCATGCCCTTTGAAGGGATGGGCATGTGCTCCCTGTCTCTTCCTGCTGGCGGGAGCACAGGTGTGATGGTGGGAGCTGCAGCAGCCTCCACGGCCTCAGTGGATGCTGTGTGCTGAGAATGGCAGCAGTGCCTTTCCAGGTGGCACCACCTGCTCTGGATTCTCACGTGTACAAAAAGTAAGGGAAAACTGTTTGTTATCATCAGGCCACTGTATTTTGGGGGCTCTGGGTTCCAGCAGCTCAGAGTGTGCCTCAGCTAAGACAAGGCTGTCCTTCCTGCGGTGCTCAGAAGAGATCTGTTCCCATGTAAGAGAGGGGACTCACTTGCCACCAACCAAGCACTTCATCCAACAATGCTGGATACCTCGGATACCACCTGGAGCACCCTCTCCTCTGCTCACCAAGTACAGCCCAAAAGTGTAAGTGTGGCATTCAAGCCTTCTCCCCCTCCCTGGCCCAGCTTCCCTTTGCAGTCTTATTTCCCAGCTGCTTCTCTCCTGCTGAGTCCTCCCAGGCACCCATCAGCCGCCCATGTCCTTGAACACCCAGGCCTCTGCCTTGCTGAGGCTTCCTCCCACCCTGCCCAATCTTGTCACTCTGCCCCTTCAGGGACAGAGGCTGATGTTTAAACCTGACCTGTGACAGCAGCCTTGCCCGCACCTTGCCCCCTCGCAGAGTCCCCAGGGACTACTGTACCGCTGGGTCACTGGGATTACAGCGGCCACGCTGCTCAGCCACACGGCCACACTACCGCCCATCCCTGGGGTTTCCAACAGTAGGCTCACTACCCTGGTGGCCTGGGCCTACTCAGCCTCCCTGAACCTCCGAGTCCTCACCTATGATATGGCGCCAACACTGGTTTGCACAGCTATGTTCAGGGCAGGAATAAAGGATCCTGCACTGGTGCACCAGGCCCCAAGCACAGGGCCTGGCCCACAATGAACACTCGAGAAAGCACAGTTCCTTCCTGGGGAAGGTCCCCCCAAGAACAAGTAGGAAGAAGGTCACCGTCCCACAGAGAGCAGCCAGTGGCCACAGGCACGGTGGGGAGGGCCAGAACTGTCCACACCCACTCCACAGCCAACACGGAGACCCTCACTGACCCCAGCTCACCCCTCTGCCTGTCTCCTCACCTCTGCAGGTCCTACCCATAACCAGGTGGACCAGCTGCCCCCCCCCATGTGACTTGGGGGGCTCCTACAATCACTGAGGCAAGAAGGGGCTGATACTCAAGCCGTCTTTGGGAAAGGCTCACATGTCACCTTTCCCACGACCATGTGCAGGGTCCCAGCCAGAGGAAGGGAGGGAGGGGAGGCAGCCCCGGCCCACACAGCTTACCCACCGGGCTCACGCACACCAGCCGGCTGCATAAACTGCATCGAGAGCCGAGGACCAGGAATCTGTCCTTGTCTGGGGTGAATGGGTCCTTCATGACGTAACTCTCCTCCAGGAGGCTGCAGGACGGTAAGTGACGCCAGAGGTCAGAACGGCCTGAACCTCCGTTGCCTGAAGCTTGGCAGTAGCATGGAATGGACCTCCCCAGGGCCTGCATGCCTGGGTGGGCTCACAGGAGGAGGGGTTGGTCCCCCTGTGCCACCGGGTAGTAGCAAAAGAGCAAGCAATCGGGGAGCAGGCTGGAATGGAAATTGGAGCTGCTCTCGGCTCTGACAGCTGCGTTGGGAAAACCACTCCTCACCCACCAAAAGGTCAGTGCAAGGCAAGGCCCCACCCCCTACCTGCCCCGCTAGGACGGGCGCACGGGGCACAGGGCTCATCCCTACACTCCTAGCATGCGGACACCTACTCTCAAGCCACCCGCTCCCACCACACAGGGAGAACCAGGGCACCCAACACCCTGTGTCAGGTCCTGGCCTCACCCTGCACATCATAGGAGACCAACGGGATTCTGTGACGACAGCCCAGGTTCCTGGTCAGCAGAGGAACCCACCCAGGAGAAAGCCCTGGCCCCTGCCACCTGCTCCACTGAGTAACACACTGGGTGAGCAATGTACTGGTCAGCTTCCTCATGACACGGCATTTGATGAAGGACAAGTTAAAGGTCATGATTCAAATCCCAGGACCCACTGGCTCTACTCAAGGTCGGCTCTGGGCAAATTTACAAGAAGCTGGTCCTTCGGACTCACTTCCACCCGTGCAAGGGGGGCGGACAGGCTTTCCACTCAGAAAGTACGTCCACGGGAACCAGGAGGAATGGCAACAAGGCTCAGGCCCAAAGGAAGGGGCTGCCACGGGGCCTTTCACTCCCTCAGGGACAGTGCTTCTACGCCACAGCGGGAGCAGGTGTTGGGCTCCGGGTGGAGTGGGGAGGAAGGGGAGAAAGGGGCGAGGGCCTTGCCCTGTGCCTCCGCAGGCCCCCCCTGCAGTGTCCAGGGCCTAATAAAGCACCACCCAGGTGTCAGACTCAGGGACCGCCAGCCTGGGGCCTCCTGGGCCAGCAGCCCAAGGAGCCAGGTGTACTCACACGACAGAGTGGGTGTCAGGGGGCTTCTGCCCCACGTAGCTGTACGGTGCTGTCAGGGCACAGAGCTGGCACTTAAACACGCCCAGGGGCAGGCGCCCGGCCTCGCCCTCCATCTGCAAGCCCAAGACACAGGGCATGGCCCCCTGAGAACCAAGCGATGCGCGGTCTCCAGGCCTCCCACTGCTTGCTTCTGACCCCCAAGACCCAGGGCACCCCCTACGGACAAGGACCCCCGGTGCACAGGTGCAGAGCCAGCAGGACAAGCTTCAACACAAGGCTGGCTGCTGGCTTCAAACCTAGGGGGCTCCCCAACACACTCCAGCCGGCACCCCGACCCAGGCGTCCATGCCCAGGACGCGCACACAGGGCGGGGCAACGGCCGAGGGCTCCCCCAGGTCCCCACGGGGGTTCCAGCCGCTGTCCGGCGGGTCAGGCCCCGGGCCCCCGGCCGTGTTGCCTTCTCCCTCCCCTCGGGCTTCGGGGGCCGCGCCCCGGCCGCCACCCGCCGCCGCTGTTTCACCCGCGCAGTCCTGCCTGCCTCAGGGGCCCCGCCGCCTGCGCACGTCCGGGTCCGCCCCCGGGGCCCCGCGCGCCGGCCCCAAAGCCTCCGCCGCCCAATCCCGGCCAGCAGGTGCGCACCACGCGGCCGTCGGCCCACGGCGCATGCGCGACCCGCTTCCCGCCGGCCCCGCCCCACGGCGCGTGCGCAGCCCCGGCCCCGCCCCCCGACGGCCCCGCCCCCGACGGCCCCGGGCTGGGGGAGGGGCGGGTCTTCCTCCGGCCGCAGCGCCGGGCTGGGTGTCGCTGTAGTGGTGCCTCGGGGCTGGGCAGGGCCTGCTGTCCCCGCGCCGGGGCTGGCGCGCCCTGGTTCCAGCTCGCCGGCTCCGTGTGCCCCGCACCCCATCAGGACCGGCGGGAGCGGCCGCGTCCACCCCCGGCGGCGGACCACATGGGTTCAGAACGCGCCCCCCCTTCCCCGCGACCCCCGCAGACGCCGGCGGGGAGCTGCCCTGCAGAGCCCCGCCCTGCGCAGGCCCCGGGGTGTCCCTGCCCCAGCCTCCCCTGCTCGCCTCCAGGCCCCCCCCAGGGCCCCCTGCACCCGCGAAGCCCTGCGCAGCCTCGGAAGCCAGCAGGCCTGCGGTGTGGGGCTTCCTCCCTTGGGGAACTGAGAAATCAGGAGTATCTGAGGCATTTTAGTAATCCTGGGAATAACAACTAATCCTGGACCTGGACCTGGACCTGGACCTGGACCTGGACTTGGACCCTGGGGATTTTAGCAAGCGCTCTAGACTTTTTAACTTGCAGATATGAGCTCTGCTCTGGGTGCATAACAGCAATAGCATTCTTTGGATTGATTCCAAGATTACATATACTGTTGAAATTGGTTTTTTATGGGTCTGCCCAAAGATGGACCAACTGGAGGAAGCATTTTTTTTAACATTTTATTTATTTCATGAGACACACAGAGAGAGAGAGGCAGGCTCCATCCAGGGAGCCCGATGTGGGACTCCCATCTCCAGGGTCATGCCCTGGGCCAAAGGCAGGTGCTAAACTGCTGAGCCCGAAGCTTTTCTTTTCTTAACTTTTCTTTTTTTTTTTTTTTAAAGATTTATTTATGATAGACATAGAGAAAGAGAGAGGCAGAGACAGGAGGAGGGAGAAGCAGGCTCCATGCAGGGAGCCCGACCTGGGACTGGATCCGGGACCCCAGGATCAGGCCCCTGGCCAAGGCAGCACTAAACCGCTGAGCCACCCAGGGATCCCCAGTCCCCCCCGCCCCGCCAAGCTTTTCATATATGACCTGCAACTTCTCAGATACATGACTGTGGTCTCATGAATACTTTTAAAGCCGGTAGGCTAGACAAGTTAGAAAAGCTAAGCAAAATATTCAAAGAGCAAATAATCACGGTCTTTGGCAGAAAACAAAATTAATTTTGAATTTGAGCTCCTCCACAGTTTTTAGTAGATGAAAAAAAAAAAATCCGAAAGGATTAAAAACATCTCAAAATGTCTCAAAAAATGGTTTGCTAAAAGAAACTAAATATTTACAGATGAATCGTGGGAAATACAATAAACCACTTGTCAAGAAGAATAAAAATATGATAATCTTTTTAAAAAAGAGAAACTGGGTGTAAAATAAGTGCTATATCAAGACAACGAAAAGACAAGCCACAGAATGGGGGCGGGGGAGGATGTATATGGTAAAGGGCTATTTTCCAAAATGTACGAATGACTCTTAAAACTCAAAACAACCAACCTGATTTAAAAATCAGCCAAACACCTGAACAGACATCTCACCAAAGAAAATATACAGGTGACAAATAAGCATATAAAAAGATGCTCCACATCCTATGTCATCAGGGAAATGTGGATTAAAATAATGAGCTACCACTCTGTACCTATTAGAATGGCCAAAATCCAAATGCTGCCAACAGCAACTGCTGAGGAGGATGTGAAGCAACAGGAACTCTCCTTCATGGCTGGCGGGAATACAAAATGGTACAGCTGTTTTGGAAGATGGCTTGGCATTTTATTACAGAACTAAACATATTCTCACCGTATAATCCAGCAATTGCACCCCTTGGTATTCATCCAAAGGAGTTAGAACTTATGTTCACACAAAAACCTGCATGTGGATGTTCTTTTCAGCTTTTTTTTTTTTTTTTTGGATTTCTTTATTTGAGGGCACCTGGGTGGCTTAGTGGTTGAGCATCTGCCTTTGGCTCAGGTGGTGATCCCAAGGTCATGGGATTGAGTCCCACGTCAGGCTCCCTGCAAGGAGCCTTTAAAAAAAAAAAAAGAGCCTCCTTGACATTGGACATTAAATATTATTAGAGAGAACAAGTGGGTGGAATGGCAGGGGGAGAGGGGAGAAGCAAACTCTTTGCTGAGCAAGAAGCCTGTTGTGGGGCTCGATCCCAGAAGATCCCAGGATCATGACCTGAGCCAAAGGCAGATGCTTTACTGACTGAGTCACCCAGGTGTGCCATCATCGCAGCTTTATTCATAATTGCCAAAACTTGGAAGCAACCAAGATGTCCTTCAGTGGGCAAATGGATAAGTAAACTGTGATCCATCCAGGCAATGGAATCTTACTCGAAACTAAAAAGAGAGGAGCTACCGAGCCATGAAGGAAACTTAAATGCATATTCTTAAGTGAAAGCTGCCAGTCTGAAAAGCTTACCTGTTATACAATTCTCACTATGTGACATTCTGGGAAAGGCAAAACGGGAGACAGTAAAAAAAAAAAAAAAATCAATGTTTGGCCCATGTTAGAGGGGAGGGATGAATAGGTGGGATGATGAGGACTATCAGGACAATGAAACTACTCTGCATGCCACTATAATGGTGGATACATATCATTATACATTTGTCCAAATTCATAGAATGTGGGACATAGAGTGAGCCCTGAAGTCAACCATGTAGATTCACCAGTTGTAACAAATGAGCCACCTGGGGGAGGCTGATGAAGGGGGTTGGGGGGCTGTGCCTGAGCCGGGGGGTCAGGGGTCTATGGAAAATTTCTGTAGCTTCTGCCCAAGTTTGATGTGAGCCTAAAACTGGCCTAAATTTTTTTTAAAAAAACACCAAAATGTGGGACACGTGGGTGGCTCAGTGGTTGAGAGTCTGCCTTCAGCTCAGGGCGTGATCCCAGTGTCCTGGGATCAAGTCCCACATCAGGCTCCCCACAGGGAGCCTGCTTCTCCCTCTGCCTATGTCTCTGTGTCTCTCATCAATAAATAAAATCTTTAAAACAAACAAAACAAAACCACCAAAATGACATTCACATTCAATATAGGGAAATTAGAACTAGGGAACCGAAACACTTGCTGGGGCCTGAATGAGAAGATTCATGTACAAATAATCCTAGAACTCATTTCTATAGAGACTGTTTTCTGGCCACTTTAGATCGAGGCAGAGTTTCTACTGAAGAGGAATTTGAGCAACACGAAAGGCCTGCCACAGTTGCCACTTTTCTTTATGATATCCCAGCACTGAAAAATGTGAAAATAGAAAAACATAAACACCCTGTGGACTGAGGTAAATTATAAGGAACAGTGGTGGTAGTGAAATGAGGGCAAAATTTAAATCAGGGAAGGAAAAATTTTGTGGGATTTTTTTATATTCACTCTTTGCAATGTTCAAACAGGACGTCAACACTGGTGATTTGATTCTAAACCTAAAGCTTTACAAATTTTATTGACAATTCCAGTTGCTACTCCCTCTGCAGAATGAATTTTCTCCCAACTGAGATAATCAGAAACAGTATGGACACTCTGATGACTCAGGAAAAGTTGTCTAGTGTGGCATATCATCCATAGAACAATCATGTGAAAATCTTTATTATTATCAATATAATGATTTTTCTGAAACGAAGGCAAGAGAACATAGCTTTATGGAATACATATGTAAGACTTTACAGATTGATCGGGAATGTCTTTTTGCTCATCCAAGCACTGGTGGCCCATCAGAAGAACACCCAGAGGTCCACAATGATAATTTGGTTATCTTTGGTATTTTGCCAATTTGTAGTTCTAGGAAAACCATTGTGTTATGTATAATATTTTTTTGTCATTACATAGGTATATTTATCAAGGTAGGTAGATATAACTTATTTTATGTATTAGTTTGTAGCTTGTTTTATAACCTTTAAATATTTAGACATATGGAGACTTATAGTATCTCCTGGTGCCATCCTCACCCCATGTTAGGAGTTGCTTGCTGGGGAAGATAATTACCCATATGTTGTGGCAGTTCTTACGAACTGTGTATCAATGTGGTCTTAAAAGAATAACTTTTAAAAGTCACAATCCTGAACAAATAGTGCACATTGTGTATCTCGGTGAAGACTGAGAAAGGAAGCCTGAAGATGGGAAAAAAAAAAAAAAAGCATTGAATGCAGACTAGACTCTAAAGCAAAGCATTGCTGGCAGCAACAAAAGGGTGCTGGTGTGGAAGATTCACTCTTCACACACCTCATTCTGCCCTTGAGAATAATCCTATTCATCCCTGTCTCCACCTCTGCCAGCAAAATTAAGGTCTAAAAGATTGCATTTTGCTTTTAGTTTTAATAAAATTTCAGGAGCAGGCCTGAGTTTTTTTAAAGAAAACTTTTAAAAGTACAATATACATAGAGAGAAGGCCATACCTCCTAAGTGCCCAGCAAGACGAATCTCCACAAAATAGGAACGACAGGCTCACCAGCCCCCAGTGAAGCCCTGCGTGACGCGTGGATACCCACCTGCCACACACCACGCCAGAGCTCCCTTCTGGCTCAGAGGGAGGTTTGGTTCCCCATGGAGTGGTAGAGGGAGGTTGCATGTATTTATTTTTTAAAGGTTTTATTTATTCATTCATGAGAGACACACAGAGAAAGAGAGAGAGAGGCAGAGACACAGGCAGAGGGAGAAGCAGGCTCCATGCAAGGAGCCCCACACGGGACTCGATCCTGAGACTCCGGGATCATGCCCTGGGCCAAAGGCAGACACTAAACCGCTGAGCTACCTAGGCGTC